TTTTCACAACAATGCCTCTGGCGAAGTTATATTCATTTCTACACAAAAACAAATGTTGTTACTATGCTCAGCGTAGTCGATTACCTATAGTCCATGGCATTTTGAGATTCCCAGAGATGTCTGATCGGAGACAGACACGTGCTCGGGGAAAGCGAGCCCTGCCCGAACGACGGTAGCTAGAGAGTCGGGACTTGCATAATTTTGTAGAGTAACGTCCGGACTATCTACACATGCAAAAAAATTACTAACATTGTATGTGAGTTTTCTGAGAACAGAGCTGGTTTTCCAAAGATCCTCTGAAAACCCGATCTCTGGAATTTTTTTTTCAAAAGTTGCTTCCGCTTGTGAAAAGTTCTGCTCAAGTCTTGGCTATTGAACAGCGAAAACCGCAGGTATCTACGACTTTCCATTCAAACGTTATAAGCTTTTCTTCCACCGGCCTTCTTTAAAAATTCCGATAGTAGTTTGTATCTTAACATATAACATAACGTAATATACGTCTCAACAGTTTTAATTATCGCTCCTTTTGATGTTCTCAATTGTGAGAACATTCATTTGCTAAACACTTTCTGCTATTCATGTGACCATTAAATGATCCATCTTAGGGATCAGTCAAAATAAATTCCGGCTGGTCGTCATTCCGCCAGTATTCATCTCGGTCGCTATTCCTGGATTACATTAGCTCGGATGTTTAATGATGATTAGATCGGATGTTTAGCTCGGATTTTAAATGCTTAATCTTTATTACTCAAAATTTTATTTTAATGATTTCTTATATTGAACGTCATTCTTATTCATCACGGTTAACTCAAGACATCAAAGATGGCGCTAGTATGTTTCTTTCTTCTGATCTTGTTTGTTCTGTTCGACTGTTCTGTTTCTGCTCACTCATATTTTATGTGCACAGAACATCTTTTCTGGGAGAATAGAATAAAAAGCGCTAGTTCCCACGCAAGAACAGTATTTCGTTTCTTTCTCAAAAACTAAGAGTTATCCAAGAAAACGGGTTGCATATTCGGAATCCTCGTGAAATCAAATCAGAATATGTATTTTGTTTCTCTTATTTTCAGCCTGCTATGATGGTTAAAGTTAACTAATAATGGAATGACTGCAAAAGATAATATTTAATCGTTCTTTACATTATGTATCTCACATTACATTAACAATTTATAAATAACGTGAATCGCATCGATTCACTAAGTCCATTGCCTGTAAGTCGAATGAATACACTGTTGGTATTATTATGCACTCTGTTGTAACTCGATCTTGTTACTATAAAATTGATGCATATTTTTTGCGATGAGAACGTCTATATTTTCTACCTTAGTTTACAGAAGCAGTTGCTTTGGTTTTTCCACGGTCAGAAAAATTTACCAGAGTGAGTACCTGTTTCGAAGCCAAGTATGGAATAGAAGTCAAGTCTATCAAGTCAGCATCAGTTCACAAGTTATGTGACTCTTAAAAGTTTGAAAGCGTCATAGCGTTATTTACTCAATTTGTGTAGTTTATCGAGTCTCTGTAATCTGATTTGGTTTTATCTGACCCCTAAAGAACCCTAGAGGTCTAGCAATATTTCGAAATTCCAGACAATGCTCACGCGTCCCTTCGGTCCGCGCTCGCAGCCAGGATAGGTGTTACACGTCTCTGATTTCACAGAAAACCCGAACGCATCTACCCATGTGGATCTTTGTCCGTGACAATCATTAGTGATTCTGTGTATGTACGTCCGTCACACTGCCACATGACTATATGTATGTACGTCCGTCACACCTCTGTACGGACAAATACACACACACAAATACTTTGTTTTATATGACTATAGACTTACAGTCAATAGAATAAACTTTTATTTGTTTGATAGACGTGATTAAAACGTGTTAACACGAAATTCTATAATTTTTTATAATCTACATCAGTCCCTAATAAGAAAACAGACATCATTTAAATCTAACCTGCGAATGTTTTTATTATAATTTATAATGAAAATATTCGCAATCGGTTTTGCAAACGTTTTCGCCAACTTAGCCGGTCAATAGACTTCTGTGTCTCATAAAAATCATTACTTGTATATTCTCTCGTTTCTTTTTAATTCAAGTAAAACAAGTATTTTTCTTTCAAATAAAATAGGCTACATGTTTCTTTTAAGACCATTTGTGAAAATTTTACTTTGAAGTTACCTTTTGAAATAGCCCAACATGGATATGGCCCTGCCAAAATCCTTTGTCAGGTATTTTTAAAATATTTATCCAAAGACTATCAACATAATACAACAAAGCCCATTAGGTGTCGTTTCTTAGCAGACTTTTATAGTTGAAAAAACAAAGTAGTATTAGTAATGCACTTTACTATCGTCATATATTATTCTACCTATTCGTTATTCTTTGTCAAGCTTTATTAATAAAAAAACTGTTAGTGTTGAGAGGCTCATTCTTTTACCATTCGATTCATCGATATGTAAGCTACATTTTGACCATAAGATGTTAGCATTTTCTTGAACATCACCTATAGTTAACAAAAAAAGGCTTACTGGACCCACATATGTAATTCATGGTACTTTTGCAAGCACTGATTCACCATCAATGGACTAAGTTTTTTCCGTCTAAAATATCGATTCGTATGTAACTTGACATGCTCTATCGGATGAACATATTGACATTCTATCGGCTGAAACTTTTGTATAAAGCGGATGGAGCTATGTGGAAGCACCCTGCTTACAAGAGATCACTGTTCCACTTTCAGATGATAAGGGTTCATTAGGGCTCTGTTCTCGCTTCCAGTCTCGTCGAGTTAAATATTTTGTAGGTTGTTGTTATGTCGCCATTGTTTTCGGTTCCGATAACGGAATCTTTGTCTTTCATAATAGTGAATTTTCCTTGTTCATCGTCATTTAAAAATGAATATAACGCTCAAATTGTTGTTCATCTGGATTTTATTGATTCTGGCCTCTTGCTACAAATCTGTTGAATGTCGTGACGTATTGTATGACAGTGAAAATGGCAATTCAAAACAGTTCTACGATTGTATACACTATACATTTGATCATGTACGTTCTCGTGAATATTCAGTATCAGGTATTCCACCAATAAAATATTGTATTCGTCCACATTACATCACCACACTGAATCGAACTTCAATGAATTGTTCTGATAACGGCCGGAAATATACATTTTCTGAATTGTTAAAACTTGATATTGAACCGAGTACTCTGTTATCAGGGGTATTTCAATTGAGCAAGCAAACTCGTATGCTGCTTTTATCAACAAATTAAGTGAAAATGATTCTGAAAATCAGTTCATATGCAATTGTACCAATTCTTCAATATTCGGAAAATATTGTGAATATCAATTTTATACTGGTAAATCTTTCAAAGAAACAATCTTTCTACAGTTCAAACATAAAGAAAAGCATCCTACCGAAAGTCAGTATCAAGAAAAACGTACATGTTATACATGGTTCCAATGTGATTCGGGATTGATGTGCCTTGATTGGCGACAAGTGTGTGATGGCATTACAGGATTGTATGAGAGGTGTTGACGAGGAGAATTGTCATGAATTAGAATTTAATGAATGTGACGAGAATGAATATCGCTGTTCAAATGGAATGTATATACCAGAAGAATATTTTCTCCACGGTAGGATGCCTAAGTCAAACGTAATAACATTCACTTTGATCTTTATCTCTGCATGTTTAGGCGAACCTGATTGCATAGATGGTACACGGGTAAGTTTACCAATTACGTAATTCACTGACTGAGTGTGTGTGAAATCCGAGTGTCTTGATCAAAGAAAGCATTGTATAGATTCTGTATATAACCAAGACGAATAGTTTTCTGAGAAGCGAAAAGATGTTGTTCCTGGTCACTTTCGATACTGTCCTTACCATCCGAATGTCTACTGTGATGAACGTTCGTGTTTGAAATACCAATATTCCTGTGGTGATGGACAATGTTTGGAAGACGGATGGAATCGATTGCAGTCAACGTTTTGTAGCAACGTTATGGAAACATGTTACATGTATCGTAATATGAATTATATCTGTGGTGAACTTGGTCATCTATGGAGTAATGGTGGTGGATTCTGTCGAACGTTTCGTCAGGAAAACCGGTTAAATATGACTACAAAAGATGAACGATGTCAACATCTTGTGGGATGTGCGCTAGGAAAAAATACGTCCGGTGGTTGTCCTTGTGCTCTCTAAAAAAAAGGCTCCATACTAAACCATTAAGGTTCCGTGTATTTTTTCGAAACTTTTAATGGTTTTGTAGTGAAATTTCGAAATTCAAAGGGTTTGTTAGACGGTACGAAACCTCAGAACAAAATATTTTTCTACAAGGTTTTGTACAGAGTATACGAAACCGGCGAAGTGGTTTAGTAGCATTAAAAGTTTAGTAGAAATTTCACAAAACCTTACGATTTTCGTATCGCAGGAAACGCTTCTTCGATGAAAGAAGAATATGTTGAAAAACCAATAAACAATTAGTAGCAAATATTTATTAGTCTTAAGATAGTTATCGAAAAAACGTTGTCTATTTGAAACACGCGATTTTACGTGAATACCATTAGATGGAGCTATTTTTTCTCTGCTGTGATTGGACTAATACAGAAACCAATAAATGACAGAATGTGAAAGATGACTATTTTATTTCTTTGCTTTTTGCATGAACTATAGCTTACTTCATCGGGAAAAGTTAAATCTACTCTCTTCCCATACAATTCCTTCCTCAGTTAGTCAAACCAAGTTTAGAAATGTTCACACGATCTAAAAAAGTTCAATGACGGTTAAGGACACAATGACCACTGGCTAAATATCGATCGCATATGTACGAATTCGGATTAAAACGTAAACACTGAGCACGGTACTCGTTTGGGTAACATAAACAGAAATATGTGTCATCATAGAAACATATTAATTTTGTATGATTTAAACGACATAGAAAATGGTATTTAAAATGATAGTATGTGGCATTGTAGCGAAATTTGTAGGATCTTCTGAAAGAAACAAGTAAAATGTAGCCAATGATTGTACTAAAAACGGATTAACGAGTTTATGTTTGGCAGTTTACGTAGAGAATATGATTTAAATACAAGTATTCAGAAATTTAGTACTGTACAAAGCTCAAATTTCTAAAGAAATTGACTGAAGCTTACCTTGAAAAACAACATCTAACATTTCTTTGGTATGTGGGCAACGCGTTTTTGTTGTTAATGATATACTAATTTTAGGTGTCAGAGTGTCATCGCGGCTGTACAACAAGTAATATGTCGGGCGATGTTTGGATAAAAAGTTTTTATCGTAAGATTTCAATATGCCCAATGCTGGAAGATACTTATCATCATGTGAATAATCCAATTCAGTGATTGACTACTATAGACTTCCTGTCGTACAATAACGATATTGTCTTTTAATAGTCCAAGATCGCAATAGAATACACTAGTAACCAACGGTTCATTAACATTTTCAATATTCTTAACAAAGTGCGGTCTTAGATATTGACATCGATTGCCATAGAATAAATGTGAACAAGCACACTGATATGCATCAATATCGTTTGGGTCATATGCTGGATAACACGTAGCATCATTTTCACATTGATGATGAAAGCATGGATCAACGAACAGATGGCATGTAGAGCCGTAATAATTTAAACGACACAGACACAGTGGAGCTATATCTTCCCCACGAACAATTCCACGATGATACGGACGAGCGATAGAATGAGAAGAACATACTGTGGATCGATTATCGTACAATTCACAATGTTTGCCGTAGTAGCCGCTATCACAGTAACAATAATAAGAGTTGTGGTCATTCAAAAACCGATGACAAGTGTCGTGTGCACCACAGAGACTGGAAAGACAAAGATACTGATTAGCAGGAAAACGAAGAATTTTAGACAGACGGTAGGATGGTAAAAAGTCAAAGTAAATCGGATAGTTCCATATACCAATGACAGTAAGCGAGGAATCATTTCGAACGATATATGCTTCAAATTGCACCGTATAATTTTGTGTCGTATATTCTGAAAGAATAAAGCTTGCATCAAAAACAGGGGAAAATTTAATTTTGGAGGAAAGCTGAGGAAAGGACGACGAGTACGATGCAAGGTTAAATCCATTGCTCTTTAAGAGTCGGGCATTTAGAAGACTTTTTAAAAAACTGTAAATGGCAAGGACACTTGAAGAAACTTATAAATCAATTTTACTACGAATAGTATGAAAGCAGAAAAATACAATCCTTTTGCAGATTCGAACGTGCGAGACAGTAACCTTTTCTGCTTCTCGTATTTTCTGTCTGAAAAAAGCATTTTCGATTGTTTTGTCTCGAGCATAAACTTTCCGATCTTCTCGTTTTTCACCATGAAAATCGGTTTGTACAAAAGTGAAGCTGCCAGATAAACTTTGGAAAACTCATCCTTCATTGTGAGAAATCACAAATGCCGCCTTTTTGGTCGATATTACTTTTCACCATGAAGGAAGGGTTTTCCAAAGTTGAATCTAGAGACACAAATGTAGCAAATTTAATTTTCTAAATTTTATCTGCCGAACTCAACTCTGTACAATCTTCACGGTAAAAAACGGTATTTACTGCTTTCCAGCATGTAGAACGATTTCTTAAAATCTGGTCCCAACACAGAAAATTTAGAAAACTAAATTTGTCACATTTTATGCTCGAGACGTAACTCTCGAAAATGCTTTTTTCAGACAGAAAACACCAATCTCTAAAATATCTTCTCAATGATTTCATCACTTATCAATTATTACATGTGTGCCTGGTAGCTTAGTTAGTCGGTTAAAACGTTGCATACTTCCAATCTCAATTCTGATAGTGCGCTGTAGTCGGCGAGTTCGATTCTCGTTGGACATATATTCTTTTTTTCTTACTTTTTTTTAACTAGCTTGAAGCGCCCGGTTAAACGATAGGTGAACCTACTTGATAACCATCCTCTTATTAAATATATTTCGTCTTCGGAGCCAGCTTAACCGGTCGGTTAATTGAGCGGTTAACCTAGTTGTCAACGTCCCTCTTCTACTCGATTATGATAACTTAGTGCTCGCTTCGCTACTAGGTTGTAGCTAGCTAACTAGGTGAAAAGGTACATTTACCCAGATCCATCCAGTGAATAGCGCCCGGTTATGTAGTTGATGGAGCTAGATTCTCTCCTTAGAGCATCTTTGCTTGCGTATCTAAGTTCAAAAAATTGACCCGCATAATTATAGAGCAACAAAAACAGGAGAAACTGCACACTAATTCGTAATGCAGTTGCTGCTTCAATATCTGTTTTGACATGCGCATTGGTAATAAGGATGACTGTCGTGTGATCGAACAAGCTCCACTGTACGTATAGGAAGCACTGTCACATACACCTGTTTAACATCTTCAGATAGAGAAAACAGTTTCCAGATCAAGGAGAAAAAAAGGTTTCAAAAACCAAGGAAATTGATAACTCACTCGTGCTGCAAGTGGTTCCAAAGTACTCATCTCGACAGGTGCAACTGAAATACGGAGGCCTCCCTACTGGCATCACGGTATACAAAAATTAAACAGGAAGA